TTCACGCCCTTCCAAAAGCCCCGGATGGCAAACGGGGGGCCTAGAGCCCGGAGGGCCTTAACAGCCCTCTATGCCCGAAGGACGAAGAAGAGAGAGAGAGAGAGAGAGAGCGACAGGGTGCACGTGAGTCGGCTGGTGAATCCCAGAGGCCGAGAAGATCTATCAGAAGATCCTGGCGGCCAAGCCTGAGGCTGCGGGCGGCCTGCGGCTGTGGCAAAATGCCTTTGCCATGGCTTCTGCCTTGTTCAGGATACCGTGACTCACAAGCGCCTCATCGCTATGCGGAGCCCCAAGCCCCTGCCTTCCTTCTTCCTTTCGTAGTGTGCCTTTCGGCTGGAGGTACAAGCAGAGCGGCAAAGTCCCTGAGGAACCGAGAGAGGGCAGGGTGCATTGGACAGTCCGCATCACGGCAGGCCATCGAGTCGATCAACACTTACTTGGAGACCTTCAGCACGGACTCCGAGGAGCCAAGTGGCAGCAACACACCGAAGGAGCCGATTCCTGTTCCTTGAAGGTGTGGCACGAGCTCGGCGAGCTCTATGTCGAGGAGGGCTCTTTGTCTCTCTCATATTTGCATCTTCCAAAAGTGGCCAAGCGCCATCCTGCCAGTCCGGAATGCTGCAGCGTGCAGTCTTCTGCTTCGAAGAGCTCATTGTCCACAATCCCCGGTCAATGCCCGCAGCTCAGCACCTGCAAAGGCACGGCGCAAAAAAGGTGACAGCCGTCGGCGTCGGCAGTCTATAGGATTACCTAGGTGTGCACTAGGTAACAGCCGAGGTACAACATCCTTACGTATGCAGAGCTGCTTTACTCCACGGGAGACCTCGAGACCAGCAGGAAGTCGGCGGCTCATGGCGCGTGAGCATCCATGGAGCGGAGCGAGCATAGTTTTTTTTCTCCTGAGGTATTTCAGCTTAGCGGCCTATCTTGACGGTGCAAATCTTCGCGCCCTTTGGGGGCTGGTCGCATGCAATATGGCCTGGGCCCCCTCTCTGGTCCGGAGCAGTTTCTCGCTTTTGCTTCGAAGACTCGAGGCGCTGATGGAAAAGGACAAGACACGCGAGAAGCAGCTTGGCTGAGCGGAGTAGTGCACCGAACAAAAGCGCTTCGGATCGCTTCGGGGGAGGTCCAAGCAGCTTCAGGAGCTGCAGAAGTTCACCGTGCAAAGGCTACGATCTGCGCACCTCGGAAGCTGATTTCAGGGGCACGTCCGTGGCTACGTAACTCGAAAGCCCAAGCTGCGAGCGACGCGCCGCGGCATGCGCACCCGTCTGTCTAAGCAGGCCGGCTCCAGCTGGAGCTTTGAGACTGCCAGGTTGCCCCCGGGAACATCTGAAAACATAACAGAGTCTTGGCGACGGTTTTCCCCCGAAATGTTCAAAATGCCAGTCTGCTTGTGACAGAACATGAGTTCAACGAACTCCTGCTAACCAAGCCGCTTCCACAATGCATCCTTGAGGCAATAGTTTTGCTGGTAATGGAGTAACTCTCGGAGATGGCTTGGTGGGCGAGATTTTCCGGGTTTTGAGGTGGGTCCTCATCTGACCCACCGAAGTTTTGAGGTTTAGTCCCAACTACCAGCAACTCTGGGATTGCAGGCCCCCCTTGACATTGTTTCAATGGTCGGAAGGGTTGCGGCACTCCTGCTCAGGCCTCGTTTCTTTTTTTCTTTTTTCTGAGCTCCGCGTTTTGCGGTGGCCAAGTTAGTTGCGTCCGAGGGCGGACATCCCGGGACTTTTTTTTGGGTTGTTGCAGCTGTTGCAAGCGGTCTTGGTGAAAAGGCATTCAATCATCAGAAAATGGCGAAGCTATCCCCAAGGGCATGGTTTCAGGCATAAGCCAGAAAATCTAGGGTAGGGACAGCCCCTTCTGCCGGATACCTCCAATGAAGGTCGTAGATATCTCTAGTGCGTATTCCCGGTACATCCACCGCTTTTGTCGAGGATGGGGTGGGCTGGGGCTGGGGACAGCACCGAGACGGCAGAGGTTGTGAACGAGACCTGTGTTCGTGCTTGCCCACCCCCGCTTGCCCAGAGAGCTTTTCGCACGGTGATCGCTAGCATGCCTTGGAGTGTTCTCCATCGCGACGAGCAGCCTCGAGAGCCGCAGGCTTGCGTCATGGCGATCTGGTGGCTCTCCGGGCGAGTGGTAGACAGCTTCCCCAAACAATGGCACAATAGGATCAGCGAGCATCCCGGGCACTGTCAGCTATTGCAGCGAGCTGGCCGCACCGGGGAAGAAGGACTTGAGGTCTCCCGGTAGCTCAGATAATTGGGCGCGACAGGGTGTGCGTCATGCAACCTCGCTTGCTCTAGGTCGTGAACATTTGTGCCTCCCGCACGAATTCCGGCGAATTTCCTGGCACGGTTTTGGAGTGTTCTGGTCTGAGTCTGCATGTCAGCGTGTCTGTTCTTCAACTTGCCTTCCATTTGCTCGCTCTCTGCGAGTGTTGCTCATGCTTCTGCACGTGACGTATACGTGACAGATCACACGTGACACACGTGACGCATGAAGCTTGTGGTTGCCTTTATCGCAGGTACAAAGACTTCGGCGGTGGCCATGGCGCGGGTCTCGGCTTCCTGGCCCCCTTTGGGCCCTTGGAGCCCCCTTTTGGGTTTCGGCCCCTCAGGCAAAGCTGCGTTGACCCTTCTGGCCGCGGCGCCGGTTGCCAGTTGACACCTTCGCTGAATTTTGGAACTCCGAAAGGAAGCCGAAGAGGGATATTCTTTGCGGAGGGTCATGTACTCCTTCGCGCAGCTGATGAATTCAGGCTAGTATATGGCCCTTGGCTCAAGCAAGCTTGTGAAAGCACCGGCACCGAGCTTCACCGACGCGAACACAGACCTGAAGAACGTGTCCATGCCGAGCCCTAGAGCGGCCATGTGTTTCTGCGCAGCGACCAGTCAGCAGCCTGTGCCTTACTCCAACATCGCTGTGGCAGTCGACTTCCTTTTTGCCAGCTGGCCCCAGGTAAACCGCCACCGTCATGGGCAATCAGCAAGTCAGGCGTCCCCGTGGCTGCCAGCGCTACCTCCACACCCTTCCCCGCCCGGGGTCCTCCGTTGCCAATCCTTCGTATTGCATCAGCAATGCAGATGCAAAGCAGGCAGAGGGCTTTGGCCAGCCGGGGATCAGGCGGGTCTCCCGCAGGAAGAGCCGCCTCTGCATGTTGGGGCATGGGGAGGTGTCGCTTTGCCGAGCGCCCCACTGCCAGCCCCTTCGCAAACAGGGGCCGCAGCCTCGAACCCTCCTCGGACATCCTCGCACCTCGGAGCCTCGCTCCCGCGTCAGGACGCTGCGCTGACGATTGCAGACTCCGAGAAAGACGATCGTCTCGAGCTTAGGCTTGAAATGGCATAACGCCCGCAAAGGCAACTCGCAGCTCGGCCGAGGCATCCCTGTCGTCTTCACTTGGACACACGGCGGCGGCAGCCTCAGCAGCCTGAGGGGAAAGCAGTGCCCTCGCCCCACTGTTCGGCTGTCCCTAGCCTGTAGGTCAGAATGTCTTCCTCGCGGCCTCCTTCAATGGCTGGCGCGACCAGATGCCCATGGTCCGCTCCGGGTGCGCCCCTCCCTGCGCCCCAACATCGCCCTTCTCGTAGCTTCGCCATATCCGCAGGCAGGAGTTCTCGGTGGTCCAGGAGCTCCCACGAGGTGCGAACCTGAAGACCTCTGGCCCCGCCTGTCTTGGCCAGCGCAGGTGTGCACCAGTACAAGTTCATTGTGGATGATCAGTGGCGCTTTGCACCGGATCAACCCAGTCGCTTGGCCTCCTTACTGTCTTCCGGCAAATACATGTGCGGTTTTGCGGAGTTGCGTCAGCCAAGGAATGCAAGATAGTCGGACTGGCAAGTTTCATCTTTGCCGGCCTCATGGGGTAGTTTTGCTGCGTTCCCTCCTCTTACAGGTCAAGGCAACATGAACAATGTGCTCGACATCTCTGCGTATCAGCGATTTCAGGCACTTCGAAGTCTTTTTTCTTGGACGTGCTTCGGCGACTCGTGTTGCATAACAGATTTCGCAGGTGTCCTTGGAGGAAAAGGAAGCTCCAATGAAATATGGACAGATGATTCCGGATCCCAACGCCTTGCCTGCAAGTTTGTGTGGACTGTCGTCCCAGCTGTGCTCTCGGGCCCTTTTGCATGCCAGGACTACACGTTGGACGCGCCAGTCGTGCCGATGGCCAGGGCCAAAGACCGAGAACGCTCTGTAGAGTCTCTACGGAGGGTGCGGAGAACGCAGGTGCTGGGGAAGAGCACCTACGCTGCGATCCCCACACGGTGCGCCAGACGGATATAATATAGAGGTTTATGGTGATATTTCGAGAGAGATAGACTTCCCAAAAAAAAAAGAGAGACAGAGCCACGTCTCTGTATAGAGAGAGTCTCGGAGACTGCGAGCGCGCCAGCGCGTGCGCGCGCACGCGGAGCGGGGAGCTCTCCGCAAGCGGCAGGTTGGCACCTGGCCAGGGCCCGTGCAGCCCTCAGAGAGAGGGAGAGGGGAGGAGAGGAGACGGTGGAGACGGTGGGAGCTTCGCTCTCCTCGGTGCGCTGGGCCGCGCCCGGCCCCGCCCGGCCCGCGCCTTCTGAGATGTGGCAGGATGAACATTCCGACGCACTGCCTCTGTGATCACATCTACTTGCGCGAGCGGAGCGACGATGCGCCCTTTGTGGCATCCCAGCTGCAAGCACAAGCCGTTGACCACGCAGCTGAGTCTCAGCGGACTGAGCGAGGTTGCAGTGACGCACCGCTACGGCCAGAAATACTCTACAACTGCCGGGGCCTGGCCCGGTTTCGGAGCTGCATACAAAACACAAACGGGGGGGATTCTGTGCCTTCAAGGTCTACGTCGCTCGAAGTAGCTTTGGAGACTCTGAAAGGCCCGGGCCCCAAGCCACCGAAGCGGTTTTTGTGTTGGCTGAGCTGCTCTTTGTCGGCAGGGCCCAGGCGACTGCTGGCCGGGTGCCCGGTTAACGTTGGCTTTTGCCATGCTTTGGCCATGCTTCGCGCCCTGGCCGCCCTGGAGGCTTCAACCCTTTGAAAGCAGCCATTCGCCGAACCGCGAAATGCAGTTTCTGACGCTGTTTCGAACTTCAGTGTCCGAGTGGCCGCAAGAGCTAAGCAGCTAAGAGAGCTGTTGCAAGAGCAAAGGATACTCGGGAAGTGTCGGGACTGTGACATGCACAGCGCTTTTTGGCCCCGGTACCGCGCCGCGGATCAAGAAGGAGACGCCGGCGACTCTTCCTGAAAAGAGGCGGATTCCCCAAACTATCGGAGCTTCAGTCTGACACGGTTTTTTCGCTTTGCAGAAACACAAGAAGCCCGGGCTGTTTTTGGTCAGAGACGTTGGCTCAAGGAACGAAGAGTAACTAAGAGAGGGTAAGAGAGGCATAAGAGGAGGCTTCTTGTGGGCGCCGAGCAGCGCCTGGCGAAGGCAGCGCTTCTGCGGCGAAGGCGGCGCTCTGCAAGTGACGCGCAGGTTTCTGATGCTTCCGTGCGCAGGAAGCACTGCGCGATTGAAGAGCCTTGGTCGACTCGGTTTGAGACTGCATGGATTACTTTGCCATTGGTGGCAAGCCTTTTCTGCCGTCCGCTGAGAGCAGAGCACTCCTTGTACGGGGCGGGCCCCGGCGGGGAGTTTTGCCAAGCGGGCCCTGAGCTGAGGTCCAGATTTCCTCCGCACATCCCGGGGATCTTCAACCCCCAGGCTGCGTTACAGCGCTTCGAGGAGGTGCGAGTGAGTTGTCGCCACCCGTGTCAGGAGCAGAGCCACCAGGACTCAGCGCGGTTGGCGCGACGAAACGCAGCCACTCTCCTCTTGCCTCTGCGGGTTTGCAGGAACCGTCGCCAGGCGACTGCTCAGCGACCAATCCCGCGTGGTCCTGAGAGCTGTTCTGTGTGCTGGGAAACACCGAGCTTGCAGACGAGAGTCAGTCGCACAGAGAGGGGCGAGAGAGAGAGAGAGCGCCGCGAGAGAGCACGCAGGACCACCTCGTGGATGGCCACGCTCTGAAGGCCTTGCAGGCGCCGCGGGGCGGGGCTTTTGCCAGGGAGATCTCTTCCTCCCTAGATTGCAGCGGAGTTGTAGCTGTGGGCCACCTCCCCCCCCCCCCCC